AAACGGTTTTAAACGGAGTTTCCACCGCACTTGGAGCCAGCGGAGTCCGCCTTAGTATGTCCAAAGACATATTATATTGTTACACACGGAGTTGGTATTTACCAATCGAAATTACGGTACCAATACAGTCAGCACAGGCCTAAACGGTGTTTAGCGGATGCATACTGACGTTGTAGCAGCTGGACACGACTTAGCAAGTCACCAACGCGTCGTAAATAGCTACACATGAAGCTACTACTATTTAAACGGAGAATATCGGTACAAATACAATTTGCACAGGTCTAACCTTTATTGGTCTTAGCAAGTTACTAAAACATCGCATATTGGTACACACGGAATACCTACTTTTCAAATCAAAATGCAGACATCAACAATCCAGTTTGCAAAGTTTGAGCGTAGTTTTAATATTTGCACCGTCGTTCGGAGTGTATACCGTCCTTATAGGAACCGGTCCCAACTTAGCAAGTCCCAAAGACATAGTACAAATACAGTCAGCACAGGCCTAAACGGTGTTTAGCGGATGCATACTGACGTTGTAGCAGCTGGACACGACTTAGCAAATCACCAACGCGTCGTAAATAGCTAAACATGAAGCTACTACTATTTAAACGGAGAATATCGGTACAAATACAATTTGCACAGGTCTAACCTTTATTGGTCTTAGCAAGTTACTAAAACATCGCATATTGGTACACACGGAATACCTTCTTTTCAAATCAAAATGCTGACATCAACAATCCAGTTTGCAAAGTTTGAGCGTAGTTTTAATTTTTGCACCGTCGTTCGGAGTGTATACCGTCCTTATAGGAACCGGCCCCGACGTAGCAAGTCCCAAAGACATAGTACACGGAGTGGTATTTGTCAATCGAGAATTGCGGTACCAATACAACTTGGACAGGTGTAAACTTTGTTTAATGTACTGCAGAAGCGTTTGTTTGAAATGACATAATTGTGGTACTGTTGGCATGGACGAGGCCACCGATCGTCCTGGACCATTGGTTTATCACAAACTAGTTTCTCACTTTTCAGAAGGCCCTGACATTTCGTGAGCGGGTAGGCTCATTGGCTCCCTGGAAAACCTTGGTCCAGCTCAGACGTGTCGCACATCGCAAAAAAGAGGCTACAAAGGTCGACGAAAAATATAAGCCCCACAACGACCAAATTCCTCGTCTTTTTTGCGCCACAGTGCTCGGCTACATTTAGCGAAAATATAAACGTGAAGCGACATCGCGAACGATTTCATCCAGAATCGGATGGCCGATTAAAGTGCAATTTGTGCAAGGCCTTGGGTTTCTTCGACACGACGATAAACCTCGGAGGTCACATCCGCAATAGTCATAGCAAATTTACCTGCTGTTGCGGTGTAGTGATTTTAAAAGCGAATGTGGCTAGGCATCGAACTACGTGCTCCAAGGCTGCCGGTGGAAACATTAGAAGCGAGAATCTGGCTGAGACGACTGTAGTTGATACTGCTAAGATGTGTCTAACTGGTGCTACGGCGTCTTCTGAGTCGAGAAAAGCACGCTCCCTCCGACTGGTGAAATCCGATCTTCTCGTCGAGCTCTCAGCCAAAACCTGGTGGCTCAAAAGCTACCGACACAATGGAGCTGGCTCCAAGCAACAAATGATTTCAGCCGAGCCATGGATCATTTGAACAAGTTCCGAACTTTTGCTGGAAAGCCTGCAAGCTATAACCAGATCGAAGTCTGGGAGATGCTGGATTTACAATCTGACTCAGCGAAATATCTGATTGTATTCAAGCTTGAGAAGCCAATCTTATCGGTGACGCACTGGGGAAATATTACAATGGTCGTGCGCTCTAGCCGTCGGCACTCCCGGAGGACAGCCCCACTTAGAAATTGACAATAAGACCGCGATAGAAAATTAGATACGGTACGAAATGGGAACGAAATGTATTAAACATTTAGTGGCAGTAGTACTTTGTGATCCCGCACACCAGCCATTCAAAGTACTCGGACGGGTCTAGGGTGCCGTCGAAGTACCAGGAGCGCCACAAGTACTCGTCCAGGTAGGACGGGAGAAGGTGCTTGTTGATGCCACGAATCTTCTTGAGCTTGTTCTTGACACGCACCTCCCACGTGCCCTCGATGCGGTTCGTGCAGGCGGGTAGGCTCATTGGCTCCCTGGAAAACCTTGAGCCGGCTCAGATGTGTCGCACATCGCAAAAAAGGGTCTACAAAGGTCGACGAAAACCATAAGCCCCACAACGACCAAATTCCTCGTCTTTTTTTGCGCCACAGTGCTCAGCTACATTTAGCGAAAATATAAACGTGAAGCGACATCGCGAACGAGTTCATCCAGAATCGGTAGGCCGATTAAAGTGCAATTTGTGCAAGGCCTTGCGTTTCTTCGACACGACGAAAACCCTCGGAAGTCACATCCGCAATAGTCATAGCAAATTTACCTGCTGTTGCGGTGTAGTGATTTTAAAAGCGAATGTGGCTAGGCATCGAACTACATGCAACAAGGATGCCGGTGGAAACATGAGAAGCGAGAATCTGGCTGAGACGTCTGTAGTTGATACTGCTAAGATGTGTCTAACTGGTGCTACGGCGTCTTCTGAGTCGAGAAAAACACGCTCCCTCCGACTGGTGACATCCGATCTTCTCGTCGAGCTCTCAGCCAAAACCTGGTGGCTCAAAAGCTACCGACACAATGGAGCTGGCTCCAAGCAACAAATGATTTCAGCCGAGCCATGGATCATTTGAACAAGTTCCGAACTTTTGCTGGAAAGCCTGCAAGCTATAACCAGATCGAAGTCTGGGAGATGCTGGATTTACAATCTGACTCAACAAAATATCTGATTGTATTCAAGCTTGAGAAGCTAAATCTTTTCTATGACACACTGGGGAGATATTACAATGGTCGTGCGCTCTAGCCGTCGGCACTCCCGGAGGACAGCCCCACTTAGAAATTGACAATAAGACCGCGATAGAAAAATTAAATACGGTACGAAATGGGTACGAAATGTATTTAACATTTAGTGGCAGTAGTACTTTGTGATGCCGCACACCAGCCATTCATAGTACTCGGACGGGTCCAGGGTACTGTCGGAGTACCTGAAGCGCAGCAAGTACTTCGTTCCAGGTAGGGACGGCAGAAGGTGTTGTTGGATGCCACGCATCTTTC